CGTCCTCTCCCTGTCTCCTTCCCTTTCTCTCTCTCGCCCTCTCTCCTCCTGTCTCCTCTTTTTCTTCAGCCTTCTCCTCCCCTTTCTCCCCACTAGCCTTCCCTTCCAGCCTCCCTCTTCCTCCTAAATCCTCTTTCTTTATTCCTTTGTGAGTCGCTTCCACAGCCAGGCTCCCTCCCTCCCATTCCAGCCTTCCCTCCTAACACTTTCTTAACCTCGAGTGCTTCTTTCCTCTGAGCACTTGCCCTCCTTTCTCTGTAGCTCAGCTTCTTTGCATTCAAGTCCCTTTTGTCAACAGAGACTCAGAACTCACTTACACAGACCCGATCCCAGCCGGTCAGACCAACGTTGTAACAAATAAACTCCGCCTCCCACCCAGCCAAACTCCGGAGGCTGGTGTGGGGGAAGGGCGAGGCTTTTCTAACTACTCATTGTCTCATATATCTGTCAGATTCTTAAATAGAGTCAACATCACAGGATGGCAATAAGAGACGGGAAAAGGAGGCACATGAAGCCTGCATGCGAAGGTTGACAGTTCTGAGTCAATCTGTAAACTATTGTTAACTGCTGGAAAAAGATAGAGTGTGTCTTAGTTTTAAAACACCACCTCACCCCGTTCATTATCTAACAGTCCAGCCTGACTCCCTTGGGGAGGACGTTGCCTGCAAGGAATTATAAAGGATGTATCAAAGGACAAGGACAGGTAAATAACTGCATCTCAAAATGAAGAAAACTCAAGTTGGTATGTATTACACACACACACACACACACACACACACACACACACACACACACACCACTTTTTCCATCTTTGCTATCCTTTTCATTTCAATGAACACTGCCACCTCCCATAGCTCCGTGGTTAGTAAATTTAGGGAAGGAAATAGTTTGCATATGTGTTTTAAATGAGGTCGGGCATTTTTGCTTTGCTTGCCAGCGCCTGCAAACCTCTGGGGGAAACTTGGTGGACTTCCTGGTCGCTCGCCGCTCTCTTAATCTCAGAAAATGGGTTCAGCACCTGGGACAGCTCTAAGCAAGAGGGCTTATGTCGCCATCTTCCGGCAAATGCTTTAGAGCGCCACCTAGAAACCCTTGTCTTACAGAAATTAAACAGATCTTTAAGAAAGAAATCCCAGAACTTTAAGAAAGAAGACTGTTACTAAAGGACAAGGGTAGCACTGAGTTTTGTCGGTTTTCTATTTTCTAAAAAAAAAAAAAAAATTTTAAGGCACTGTTTTTCTGTTAACCTTATATATAAATCTGAGTATATGTTCTAGCTGCCTTTGAAAGCCTGCAGCATCTATAATTCACAAGTTCTAATTCAGAATACCATTCTCATCTAACAGACTTAGGCAAACACCTTCACCACCTGTGTTGGTTTTGTGCTGCCAGAATCTGTACTTTGAAACTCACACATTCATACATATTTGCCTTTTATAGGAAGGAGGGGGATAGCATTGCCTTTTCCGAATGGGATGATTTAATATTAAAAATAGACTTCCATAGGTTTGTTCTTTAATCCCATTGGAAGACAGGTAAAGAACAGGACTCTTAATCAACTAGAGTAAATATGTAGCACAAAAAGGTTCGCTCACGGATCCTTATTACATGCCTGAAGTAAACAGAAAGTGCAGAATGCAATCTCACAAACAATTGCAAACAGTTGACTCTAGATAACATGTACAGATTCACTACAGATTACAATAGCCTTAATATTGTGTTCGAATTTGAACTCTGATTTTCATAGCTTTGAATTCTCCAAGACCAAACAAAAGAGCAATCACCAAAGCATCAAAGAAAATCCAGTTAAACCCATACTTACAGTACAGGACAATGTGTCTGGAGATGAATTCCTTTACAATTCAGTTCTGGGCACAATTTCCACTCAATCATTTCAGCATGCCACAACAATGTACGTGCCATTTATGATGATTCATGGCATTGAAAAGAAAAACATAAGTATACATGGCATTACCAGCTACAGACTCTAAAGTCCTTTTAAGGCTTTTTTCTTTTGTAAAGGCATCTATTTGTGAAGGTATCTATTTCTACTGTAAACACCTTCTCACAAATGCAGAACTAAATAGCTGTGTAAAATACAGGTGGAAGTCCAAAAATTATAATGGTAAAATATTTGCAATCTGAATTCTATAAAACTTTGAAAATGTAGTTGAGAATATAAACCGAAGGTTTAAAAACTTAAATTTTATTTTTTAATTCTTTAGTGAATCATCTGGGTTAGAGGTTACTTCCTTGGAAGTTTTTTAACTACAAATTCAATTTATTTATCTAATGGTAATAAAAACCATTCAGGCTATTATGTTTTCATCTTGGTTGAGTTTTAGTAATTTGTGGTTTTTAAACAATTGGCCCATTAAAAACCTTAAATTTTAAAAATCAAATGTACATATGAAGAATATATTTGATTAAGAGTTGCACCACAATTAGCACAAATGAATATGTAAATCACAAATAAATGAGTATAAATATCAGTCAGCCATTGTTCTTTCATCTATTGGATTCCAAATGGGTTAAAAACTGATTTTTTTTTCTTTTTCAAGATAGCTAAAATGCTATTAATCTGGACTTAGTATTTGTTAGGTCTGGCATTTGCTATTCTGCTCTAATATGCTACTAGATAGTTCATGTTTTCCCTCAGAGATAATGCATGTAAAATATCAAACAATTCATTTTTTAAAATCAAGAGCAAGTATTTTAGGCACTCTTTTGAATACCAGAAAAAAACATACATATAAAGAAATATACAGCACCATATAGACTATGATTCTATAACCTGAAAGTAACTAACAGATCATTATGTATAAATTTTTGAACTAATAATACTGTGATATATAATAAAAACAGTGATGTTGCATCTCTTCATGTTCACATGTTGCCAGTTCTTCATGTTTAACTCTTAAAAATGTGGAATCTTAGATATATCTGAAGAAAATAGTGCAAACTAAAGTTCCTGCATAAAGAGTTAAGCTCTTACTTTTCAAGGCCTCTGGAGGTATCCTAAAGAAAAGCTAGCTTTATAACGGATATTATTGATGCTATCATTTGAAAACAAAAATTCTAGTCATTCTGTTTTTATTTCTTCTTTGAATTTACTAGATCCAAGCATGAATTTCTCAGGTTATGAACTGGGGTATAATGCCTCATTCATCATGTGAATTTTTTTCTAAAATGTTTATTAGAGATAAATATTTTTAACATGTTCACAGGAAATTTGATACACGCCCAGAATTTCAATGTAGTTCTTTGGCCAGGGACACAAGATAAAAATATGCTAAACTGAAGTTTTGCTATGAACCTTAAATAGTCTATCCTTACTGAAGGCTAATGGGTGGACTTCTTAGTAATTGATATATTTATTCATTAGTCACAAGTTATGGCTGATTTTTCTATTAATGAGGAAAGAGCTTATATGGTAAAGAGTTGAAATTGATATTATGAAAGTTTTTCTAAAATCTCCTGTTTTTTAAGTTTTTACTTTTTTTCAAGTAAATGAAAATAGGGTAGAATATTTTGTTTAGCTACAAATATTATTTTAATTATATTTTATGTTTACTTTAATTTAATACTCCCTTTCTATCAAATACTAAGCAGTAGGGCAATTGTGATTTTTCCAGAACTATGGAAATTTTTGCTTAGATAATTTGAGAAGTATAGGTCTTCCAATTATCAGTGAGAATTTACAAGAAACACAACCAAGATGCAAGATAATAAATTCTCCTTTAAAACTGAGCACACTTTTTTGTGTCTAATCCTCACCATCCACCTTCTTTTCATGATATTCTTGCTTCACTGCTCTTCCCCTGTAATTGAGAGTGAAAAAAATAATGTAACTTGAATTTACTACGTGTGTGACTTGAGCCAATTACTAACCTTGTTTCTTAAATAATAAAATGGGTACAGTAATAGGCTTGTGAAGATTAAGTGATTTAATATACTTTGCTGGCTCATAATAAACATATACCAAAGGTTAATAATAATAGTAGTAGTGGTGGTGCGAAGTAAAAATATTAATTCTCCCTCTACCGATAAATGCTTGGGAATGTGGAAAAAGAACTGAGTGACCTTGGAAGAAAAGTGTGAGCTTGGAAAAAATAAATAAGGTTTTTCTTTTTTATTTTTTTATTTGTTTATTTATTTATTTTGAGTTGGAGTCTCACTCTTTGTTGCCCAGGTTGGAGTCCAGTGGTACACTCACAGCCATTGCAGCCTTGTCTGGCTGAGCTTAGGCGATCCTTCTGCCTCAGCCTTCCATTTATTACTTTTTAAAAAGAGATTTGCATGCAGATGTTACCTTCTCACTTGAGGTATTTGTTGAGTTTACAATTCTCTAAGAAATCCTAGATAAAAGACAAGTAAAAAAAAAATACAATGTCTTCATTCCGGAATTTATGTATTTAAAGTATGTATTGAGGGGAAAAAAGAATCTCCCAACAAAATTTTAATAATGGGCAAAATAGAAATCTGCCCTGTTCCTGAGAGTTCGTTTAGTTCTTCAAAAGTATAAAATAAATAATTGAAATTCATAGGTTCCAATAGAATATTTAAAAATACAGTAAAAATCTAAAAGGCGATATTTTTGTTGTGAAAAATTATCAGATTTATAGTGACAGGTGTTAATAAATACACTTTTACAACGCTGTGATTTTGTAAATATGTTCATTGTTTACTTTAGAAAGAGTAAGAACATAGTTGAGGTGAGAAAAATGTTTGGAATGTAGCTCAATATTTTCCTTAATGTAAGGATAGTAGAAAATTAGCTTCAGTCTAATAATCATCTGAAACAAAATTCAGTTACTATATTT